CCCCATAACTGACTCATCGTTACGAAGCCTATATGTGAATATGGAGTGGATTAATGTGAAGTAGCCTCCACAAATCTAAAACTACATGTATACAGATGTACTGTGCATATACGTATATGAAATTATTTTCTAGTGTGTTTAAATCCCTAGCCACAACACCCACAACCATATAAAACATAATCCTGATTTTTAACCAAGCCATAATATGGCCCGTGCAAAATTGTGAATTGTAAATCACTTTATCTGCGGCTTCTTTGAAATTTTTGATTGTACGCCCACGTGCCTATACTTATCTATGTAATGTTTTTTGTGTATCCACTTGGTAACATCTTTTAATCTAATTTTTATTGAATTTTTCGCTCGTCGCTTGGTGTAAATATATAAGTATGGATTTTTAACTCATGAGCTGTTACTACATGTCTCAAAAAACTTCCAGCCTTTAATTAAAATAGTTTAGTACACTTCTAATATTCTTTTGATTTGGTCCTTAATTTTGTATCTATAAAAAAAAAACTTTTAATATCCACAAAGATTACATTGCATCTACCGATGAGTCGGTATGAATGAAAGTCTCACATTAGTTACAGCAATTCAACTAAATACAATGATGAAATGAGTTATTACTGCTTTTGACAATTTTATTTCAATCATGAAACGAAGTAAGTAGTTTAAATACACGATACCCACAAGCATTTGAGATTTATAAATACTCTTATTAAACTCGATACACTTTGTACTGCATTAGACGGTATTATACTAGTCAAGCAAGGTCATTGTATTACGTATGAGTTTGTAATAACAGTACATAGTACATATATACATCATAAAACTAAAGTAATTTATTAACGCCGGCTCATACCTCTCAATTAGGTAATAAAAAACATCTTTCAATGAGGAGCTCGATGTCTGCAATAAATTTTGATAGTGTTATTGCCCGTTAACATTTTTCAACCGCCATAACAAATCTTACCACCTTTGTGCAGTATCATTTATTCGTAGTAAAAATTAGGAACTAAATTTTAATTGTCTCAGCTATTGAAGATAATCACTATTAGATAAATATAAATATCACTCTAACGCCTTTAAAACCTTGTTATTATAAAATAGCGCAAGTCCAAAGTATAAGTTCTAATTTTCATCCAAGCGAACCTGTCTGAGCCCATCAGCATCGCGTATACAGAAGCCTTTTTTTCCCTCTCATCAAATTCACATTAAACACACACACACACACACACACTTTTACGCCAAGTTTGCGATCTCATCTTTCCCATTGACGCGTAAAAACAGTTGATGACCGGCTGTCGACGAAGTGACTCGTTTTACACGGTGGATCATGTTTGAATGAATTTCTCGAGCCAAAGACATTAAAACTGTGCGTATAACATTTAATTCACGAGCGGCGCGCGTAGCTTTTTTTCCCTCCCGCTCTTGTGCTCAACGCGAGCGAAAGTCACTTCTAATAGAAAAGCGCGCTAATTTGCTGTCAGTGCAATCCCTGTTCTCGATTCTTTATTAATAAGAAGTAATTGATCTTGGGAAAATTCATGTTTTCACATATCTAATTCATTATTTAACTTGCAATAAAAATTGTTTAAAAGTTTTTTTCATTACTTCGTAACTTTCAATTACTATATATGATTGAATTGTATGAATGTTCTTGTTTTATTAAGTTTTAGATTTTTAATTTAACTACACACAATCGAGTTTTAATTGGGATAATTAACAGTTATTAAGGAATCTGCTACTGTAATTAAATGTTGCTAAAGTTCAACGCATACTAATTAATTTAGAAAATAATGATTGATGCAAATTGTTTTAATAGTTGCACCATGCAAATCAAATTATTGGAGATTAATACAATAAGAGTATGTTGAAAATTATTATAATTTCTGGTACTTTTACATGACTAGAATATTGAAGCTATCGCATATGTTCATAAAGTCTACACAGAAACAATTCAATTTCTAGTAAAATTTTTTTTAATATAATTTTTGTATTCCAATACAATTAATAATAAAATATAGAAATCTGAGGATTTGAGGAGTTTTACGGATTATATTTTATTAACGTATTACTGCAGAGATGCCAATAGTCAAATCAGTGCAGAGTCGCCTAACCGATTTTACGTGTCGTACCGAGTATACCTACAAAATATATATACATACCATCAATTTAAAATATATATTTATTCCTATTAGCCCTCAATTTTCAATTTACGCTCCATCGACTTTCATCAAGGTCTTGAAAGTAGTTTTTGTACACTACAGATTCTAATACACAAAATACGGGTATGGCCCCTAAGATTGTGTGCTAATTGCCCAAACATTTCGAGATCAATAATTTTTTTTACACGCACCCTAGATCCACAAAATATAAACAAATAAATGTTTTGAAAAATCAATAAACTTTGTTTAAAATTGGATTGCTAACTCGCAAGTCAATCAATATTTGACAGTACTGCCTTAATCCACAAATCAAGTTCTAACAATTTGAATTGTAAAACACATTTTTTATACATTAGAAAAATGCATAAATCGTTTTTTCGTCTCTCTCCTATTAGCTATTCTTATGAGAATGTAAAGAACTTTTGTCGATGGCTCCGCTTCCGCTATTATCTTCTCCATAAGATTTAACAAAGGAAATTAATGACAATGACAGCAGCACCACAGAAGCACATAGCGAATCTACACACCAACATATGGTTGAAATATCCTTAATGTGCAAATTGTGCAACCACATTTAGCAACTAATTTTCAGAGGAAACCAAAGTACAATCTGCTTGTCATTAGCCTAAATTTTCGTAGTTTTTATACATTTCAAAGTAAAACGAATACTAGATCACAGGTAATCGCATCACAGTCCCCGTGACTTGTGTAAACAAAACCATAATTTATATGTAAAGTACCTTCCATTACTTTCAAAAATGGGAAAAAGACAGGTGACTCTAGAACTCGCCTACGTAAGTAGTATATCAAAGCTGCGATGCCGCGTTGGCCAATCTATAATAACACCGGACGTTAAGTACTCGTGTGGCTTTCTCGCGAAAAAAATCCAAGCGGCAACTCGATCGGGATTTGGCAATGGCCATGTCAACTCGTGATTCTGTTTGGCTGGCTGGTCATATGTGGAACGAAAGGGAGAGTGCGCATACCTGTATTGCTTTTACGCAGCAGGAAAATCCAAGCTGCCCCACCGTTGTACAGCGAGGGGCAGTGACAGCTCAAAATTATTTTATGATACTTGATCGATGGAGTTTAAGTAAAAAATATTGTTTAATTTAATTTATCATTCTTTTTCAAATTTAAACGATGATTCTGTTACACAGATTTTGAAATATTACAAAAAATTGAGCATTATTAAAATATCAAGTTATTTTTCAACAATCTCTTTTTTAATAAAAGGTCGATACTATAAGTTGTTTCTTAACTAACGTAAATTCAAATGTATCTGTAATTTTAATTTGCGTTCCATCGAATATTTCCAATGATGTCATATGTGCGCGTTGAAACTAAGCTTGCGTACGAGGAGAAAACTAGAATTATTATTTCACTCTTTTACTTTCACTTGCCATTAAAAAAGTATGCATGTATTTTTTCGCTATAATTTTTAACTTACGCAGTTGGTTTACAATGTACAGTTAAATGAAATATAGTAACGCTTGTTTATTTGAAGCAAGGGGACAAAATAAACTTTACATTTGATTCCACTTCTTATTATTTGGGTAATTGCAAATGGAACTGTATTGCGATAGTTGAAACCACGATTTCAATTGAATAATCCGAGAATATTTTGATCATTAAATAAAAAATGTAAATTAGTTTTTTGGTTAGTTATTTATTGCTGTTAATTGGTACACTATTTAGTCATTATTCACACTCAAATACAAAAATTATGAAACAATACAAGATATTGATTTCAAGTTAAAATATATACTTGACAACGTGTCTGAAATAACAATCAACAAATCTGCTACTCGATGTATAAAAAACGAGAGTAATCCTTGTTCAATGGAAAAAATACAAAAAAAAGACATCACAGCAGTATACAATAACATAAACAGCAAAGCTATAGGCATGCATCAGGAATAATTTAATACCACATCTGTTTCTAATACCTGTATATGTCTCGAAGTACGACCTACAGTACAGTTATAACCTTGGATGAAAAAGTATCTCTTAGTCGTTTGTTAAGCAAGGAAAAAAAATCTCACAATACTAACATTTATGACCATTCAATGTTAACTCTGTCAGCACGTACAAAACAGTGACATTCATAATAAACTGTTATGATATGGAGGTAAGTTGGAATCTGGAGCGTGTAGGACTCTCTCTTGGGTAAAAGTGTCAAATTTCCGGCCTCTAAAATTGGGGCCTTGAGACACCCGAAAATTTGGAGAAATTCGGCTCGCACCGACCCTTTCTCTCCTTGCTTCCTTTTTTAAAAATCGCAAGCTTCATGGAGACATATTAGCAACAGCGTGTATGAATTTTATAACTTTATATACTCACTGAGAGTGCAAGTGAGCGTGAGGAGGAGAAAGACACAAGAGATGGAAGCTAAGGTAGACCGTGTACAAGAGGGCGGGAGAAGGAGGAGGGGCGAGGGGCTCTCTCGAACCTCTCGGGTGTGCTCTCGGTGCTGTTACTCCACGGAGCCGAGCAGTTCGAGAAGGAAAAGAAAGCCCCCACCTATCAGCAAAAGCGTGTCGTATAGGTTATAAAGGACCGCGGGGGCTCCAACCCGGCTACATTCGCTTAGTGAAACTCTACGAGGATCGTTACTCCTTCAAGCAACTCGAACTCGCTGTGTTTGTTTTGTAAAAAATTTACTTTGTTTTTGATTTGATACGAAAAAAAAGTACAGAAAAAAGTAGAGCGTCCACCTACGAGTTTTATTGTTTTTTTTCACTGTAAGTTGCGTTTTGGTTATCACCACCTGCTTTAAAGTAGGTACGCTTGCCTGTTGCTGTTAACGACTTTCTACGCCGGTGCGCGCTGGATTTTGGATACACTCTCAACATGAGGATCTTACTGCTGGTATGTGACTGATTTTTTAACTTCTTTCAGCTATCTTTCTTTTTCTTTTTCTCACGATCGATTAGAACCCAAGGGAAGGATTCATATCTAGGCGAGAATAGATCGCGAAAAAAAATGTGATACTTAGCCGAGGTGATGCACTAGTCCGAGAAAGAAAAATGCATGCATAATACGCGTGGCTGGATTGTTATGTGGAAATAAAGAGAGGCTTGTGCAGATTGGCAATATTGAAAATAAATGATGCGGTGCTTCAAGCGTGTAACTATGCTCCGCAAATGTTATACATGGTGTAGATTAACGAGCCGATAAGCGGAGACGACGCTTGAATTGTTTCTCTTTTTTTTCTCTTCTATAATTAATGAGACTAGATGCCAATCGATACATCATTTGAATTTTAAATCTCAGCTGGATGTTTTGTACGCATCTCCATGGTATGAATAGATTCGCATGTGTATAGGTTTATTCTTAAATTTAATAAGGCTACTGAATGAATCACGCAAATTATTTAAAAGTGATACCATAAAATCACACGGTAGCAATGGGAGAATACAAAAATCCTTAACACCGTTATATACCTGTAGAGGGTCCATTAGTTCTTAGAGTCACACGGTTGCACAGCGAAATAAAAAATCTGACTGTAACTCATACTCTGTGTAGATTTTAATGTGTATTACGTGTATGAGGTTTTACCTATCCGCTAAGGAGTATGCACACACATGAGCCAAGCTGGATGAGGTACTGCGGTGCACCTTGCACTCTTGCATCGATCTTCTACTTTCACGCGAATTCTCAAGACTTTTTATAATCGACGAGGGTATAGCTGCGCAAAGAACTCGCTTCTGGTTGTGTTTATACCCTGTATATTCCATACATCTATGTGTTTATTCTACCCCCCCCCCCTGGCCTTCCTAGAGTACTACTACACCCGACTTTACCATCCTTAAATTTTTAGCTTCTCCCCATCTCCTGGGATACACACGTTAGTTACTGTTTTTTTTTTAAATTATTACCAGCTTCTCTATGCATCTGTAACCCACTTTTAAGTTATCGTTATAAACATGTGTAGTGCCAGAAACGCTTGCATTTGTCTTGTGCAAACTGATCGACTCTGACAAAATTTTCTACAAAGATTGGGATGAGGCGTCATTTTTGTGTACATATAATCTAGGCTTGTAATTGCATATTCAGTGACTCTCTCGCGTGACAAGCTCATTCTAGTGCAACGCGCAAAATCCATATTTGTTACGATACTTCTTGATTTCAAGCAATCAGTTCTGACTTGGGACTGCACCTACGACGAGCCGAATTTTTTTATGGATCAGTACAGTGTACCCTAGTATTCAGGATGAGATGCTTTATGATTGATTTGAAAAATTACCTCGTGAATTAAAAAAAAAAAAATTTTTTTTTAAAAAAACATTTCTCGGGCTCCCGAGAATCACACTGGCGAGAGAAGAACAAAAGGAAAAGAATCATCGCTCTTCGCGAGCGCGAATACGAACGTCGACCGGTGTACTCCATTATCAAGAAATTCAAAGAAAAAAGAAGAAAATACATGCAGAGAGACGAGCCTTGTGCCTTCTTCAACTCGCCGTCTGGAAAACAACGAAAGTCTCTCAATGAAACCTATAGCTGCTTCGGAGGCCGCGGCACGGTGGTGATCGTTTTTACAGGCACACGTACGTATGTACATACGCAAAATTAGTATGCGAGGATGATGCCTGGCAATGATCCATTACGAGAGAGGACAGGAGCCCCGCAAAAACAAGCGCTCGCTTAGCTCACTTTCCACGCAGCGGCAGATGTCACTCGGCTCTTCCTACTTTTTTATAATTGCTCGAGAGAATACACACACGTGCACGTGCTCTATAGTGGACCATGTCTATCACACTCTCTCTTTCTCTCAGTTATTTCAATTGTCATGAAAGGTCACGTAAATATTTTCAAAGCGTAACGTATTCAGAGTGGAAACGATCGCACGATGATAAATCGGGTCTCCGGAAGGATACGAAGTTACAGACGCTAGGCTTATTTTGCTTTGCATCCTATGAGACACGTGTATTGGGAATACGCGGTGTAATATATGTATATTTATATTGCGAGTGTCGAGCGTCATGCTAACACAAATATATCCAAATTTGTCAACGTCTTCCATTGATGGGTATACACATAGCCACTATCTGTCGACTTTTGCCGCCACTTAAATTTGTAAATTACTAGTACTTACTTTCGCCTTGCTGGCGCTAAGGCTGGGTAAGCCGATGGAAGCATGAATTTCAATGATTTCACAAAAATAGAAATGGGTACCTAGACTAATATCGCACGAGGAAATGACTGGATCGCCGTTGCTTACATTCGCATACGCGTTTTCGACTATCAACGCAGGACTGAATCATCTCAAACTGTCTGACCAGGTCCTGATGGTTTCTAGTGGCTGCCGAAAAGTGTTAACAATGAAATTCCAATCGACCGTGTTGCGTTGTAAATTAATAAAATTAGCGGGTCGTTTCGATAATTAGTCGCGTCAAGGAAGAAAGTATCCATACATGTTGTCGAGGTAGAAAAGAAACTCTATAGACACAATAATTTTTTAAAATAAAAGCATGTGCGCAAAATCCCGACATAATGGCAGCGGAGAGCGAGCGACACTTTCTCAGGATACATGGGAGAGGGGAATAAGGCCCGGAGGCGTGGATTGACGTTCTCTCGCATGTGTACAGTCTAATTACCCATTCTTCGCATGATTATCGCGCCGCGAGCTTATATAATCGATTGAGCACGCCACATGTATACACAGACAGAGACTTTCGGGAGAGACAATTGTACTCGCATGCGCTGTCTTAGTATACTGGTCGTCTCAGTTACGAGGCATCGTAGGAAAGAGAAAAAACTCGGCATACCGCTCGTGTGTTAGGTTTTCTCGTTATTTTCACATGTTGATATGTAGAAGCATGAAAGAGTCTCTCACTCCGGATGCTCTGATCTTCTGTCTGCCTGCGCGCGCACCGATCATAAGGAGTCCTGGTGGCAGTGTACTTTCCTACACTCTACGAAATGCAGGGTACGAAAAGAAAGAGTTTCGCCACTCGAGACGACGAAACAACCGACTGACGTATACATACTTGTAATGTTCACATAGATATATTATGTATTTATTTTGAACTAATATGCAGTTTTGGATTGTCAGATACAGGTGAAAATACTAAAGTTCCATTAATTGAGCGAGTTAATCTATTAATCTCACTGGCAATATATTATTGTTTTGTTGATTGACAGAGGCAAACTTATGTTACGACCTATTTTTTGTGTGTACGTGTATAGTTGGATTAAAAAAAATGTATTTTAATGAATTATTAAAAAAAGAAGAAAAAAAATTCCACTTGATAGTAAGACACTTATTAGTATTCATAATATACCCAAGTTACAGGTTATGAAAGTAGTTCGAGGCCTGAAAGTATGTTTTTGGATAAATCTATTCAGCGGTCCACTCAATTTTGGGAAATTTCCGCAATAATTTTAATTTGAAAGATAAATCTCCTAATTCATTTCAATCAACGATAACTGTTGTGTTATGTTTTGAGCATATGATGAAAAAGAGAAATAACCAGGATCTGTTAAAAAGAAACATCAACTAAAAATCCTAGGAACCACAATGAAAATTACAAAATTACAACAAGATGCTTGTACTGATTACAAAAAAACAAACGCACTGACACACCAAGATGAGTATATTACTTAATAAAAAAAAGACTCAACATAACTACTGTCACTGGTGTACAATGACAGAAATGAAAGTGTGAAATACTTTTAACGAACGGTTTTCCTCGCTAACAACGACTGGAGTGCGAGTTCTGGAACGCGGTTGTCATAACAGCTCCCAAAATCGACCCACTCCGTGTCCCGTGTTTATTTTCTTCTTCGTTCCTTGTACGCCTTTTTTGAGAGTAATCGTTGCACGCGCTCGTTACGTACGTGACCAGCCAACCTGCGTGTACGCCCGTTTGCGTAATCGTGACCCACTTTTTTCGACGACCAGTAATATTACCTCTCCTTCTTTGTCTTTGACCACGGGTGGGCAGAATCGAGGGAAGGAGAGAGACAAGCAAGAACTTCGTTAATTATTTATTCCAAGCTGTTCGCTCGCGCAGATAGAAAGCGAAGCCCGAGTTATTTCGCTCATTCGCACACATGCCCGAGTTGCAGGAGAGAAATTAATTCTTGGCGCTAATTGCAAAAGGAACTAGCGAGCTGGATAATACATCCATCCTCTCCCAACGTGGGAGGTAAGAGGAAGAGTATTTTTTCCCGTCTCTGTGAACATCTAATAGAGGATCTGCACTTCCGATTCGGTAGCAGACGAGAAAGTCGTGTGTTTGCCTTGGGTAAGGCGTAATGCGCCGTGAAATTTGATTTTCAGCCGAATCATCGTTGTACTTGTATCTAGATTCTTTAAGGACACCAACTTTTTTCCGGGTTCGGTGTATGGAATCGGTAATGTTTTTTAAATTGAAATGGTGTAGAGTTCGTGGAATTAAATTGGATGTGGAAATTGAATCAATGTAACGCGATTGTCGTTTAATCAAGTATATCATATAATATCATGTAATTTTTAAAACAATGAAGCTAGGTTCACAAAAATTTTTACCGATGTTTTTTATTACAGTAAATTTTTGCACGGTTGTTTTTTATACAAAATAGTTAGATATCAAGAGAACTTAAAGTAACATTTTTTTCAAACCAAAATTGTGTGTAAGATACTAAATTACGTAAATTATGCCTAAAAACAACATAAAATTTGAAGCTACAGCCCTTTAGACCTTCCCAACTTTGGATGTATAATTTGGAGTGATAAAATAAAAGAATTATACATTTAAATAAAAAATCAGGATAGTTCTCGTAAGTCGAGACACTATTAGTCGATTCAATATAATACTTTTTTTTCTACTTTAACTAAAAGTGAGATTCTTGCGATTCACTTATACACAGAAATATTTGTTTAA